GCCAAATTATTGGGAGGGAAGCACAACAGCCACTCGGTCTTGTCCGGGTTGAGTACCAGTTTGTTAGTGCTCATTTCTTACTGAATTGTTAAAGTACTTTGTGATTTGTATAGACATTGAGAGCTTATGCATCGGAGACAAATTCCTTGTATGTCCAGTCATACTTGGGAAATAAAGAATATTGTATATTGTGCAATGCCCTTTATATGTTTAATTTGATACTGGATCCACTAACCTGTCTGAAGGACATTCTGAGAGTTAAAATTGCTGAATTAAATAAAATTATGAAAATTTAATGATATATCACAGTAAATTGTCCAATCGATTGTAGTAACTGTGCAAAACATAAAAGATATACAAACAGAGAAAGAGAAATATTGTATTACATATATACATATACACATATACATACACACATGTATGTATATATGTATGTATATTAATTAGCATATTAATTAGCTCAGTGGTACCAATTCTTTAAAGAAGGACCACCCAAGCTTTTACAGAACTTTTCTTTCAAGTAATGCCAACGGTTTATTTGGGGAGAAGATAGAGGCTTACGAACTGTACTATTTTTATGCATCTGTAATAATTTGAATGTGGAAAAACAGAAAAATAGTAACAGAAAATTAGAAATGTATTGTTCTAAGTGTTTGTTGTCCTTTAGTTCTTAACACAATCCTGAGAAGATTTAGATAAATTTAGATAAATTTCCTTTTCTGCTCTATATTCTGTTTATAATTTGAACACCTAAAATTATTGTTTATTTTAGGTAAATACACTGCTTGGTTATTTAATTTTATGATTCTAAAATAAGAATATTGACATTATTAGGGTCTTATTGAAAAATAGGGAATGTGTTGACTTTGTTTCAAAGAAAACTAGAGTTTTCTTTGCTTTTGTTTAGTGAGGAGAGCAAAACCTAGGAGATGGCAAATAATAAAATATAGCATGCATCCATGTTTTCTAGATTTGGGACTTAATCCTTTTAAATACATGTTCTGCCATTTAATATACAGTATCAGGATTCTGTACTGAGCTCCTAAATCTCAGGTTGATTTAATTACAAGTTTCTCTTGAAGTTCAGTTTTTATTAGCAGTGGACTCAGAAGTAAGCCTCTAAAAGATAACTTGAAATTATTTTAGTAATTTGTTCCCATAAATATAAAGTTGATTAATTCAATAACACTGCATGCTTAAGATTAGATGAAATTAAATTCTGTTATTAATATAGTGTATATTCTTTACTAATAGAAACAGTGGATTTGTATCACATATTTATACATGCATGTAATTTTAATTTGTGTAGAACATGAAAGCTATGTTCCTGCTGAATTAATGCACAAGACTTGTTTTCATTTTCTTTTAGAAACCAGTAAATACATTTCCATTTTCAATCCATGACAATAGACATAGTTTATTGACTATGGGAGAGTATTTAGATTGTGTAAGTATTCTGTTTTAATGATATTTTCTTAAGAATAATTTTTAATAATTCTCTGTAAGATATGTAATATAATCTTTATATTCATTCTGTATTACAGAATTTCCTTCTAAGCTAAATCACAAAACTGATGCTTATTTAATTTTTTTGTCAGTTATAACACATAACTAAACTTGATAATATATCAACTTATAGGCTATTAATTTAGGTATATTAATAGTATTTATTATTTAGTAGGGCAATTCATATTTCCCCAAAATTTGGGACCTATTAGAGAAGGCCAATCAAACTGGCGGGCCGTGAGCCAGATGCATCATGCGTAGGCCATGCCCGCCCCGGCTCTGCAAAGGCAAAAAACGATACGTCACGTGACGTGATCGAGTTTGACACCCGTGTACTATACAATTTTATTTAGTTCTTGAAAATGTAGAGACATATATATATACAGGTAGTCCTCAATTTATGACCACAATTCAGCCCAAAATTTATGTTGCTAAGTGAGACATTTGTTAAGTGAGTTTGCCATTTTACAACTTTTCTTGCCACATTTATTAAGTGAATCACTGCATTGACTAATTACTAAATTAGTAACATGGTTAAGTGAATCTGGTTTACCCATTGACTTTGCTTGTCAAAAGGTTGCAAAAATGGATTACATGACTCCAGGACACTGCAACCATCATAAGTGAGAGTCAGTTGTCAAGCATCGGAATGTAAATCATGTGACCATGGGCATGCTGCAATGATCATCAGTGTGAAAAATGGTCATAAGTCACTTTTTCCAGTGCTGTTGTAACTTTGAAAAGTCACTAAATGAACTGTTGTAAGTCGAGGACTACCTGTATTATCAAAAAAAAATTCGACATGTGTAGGATGGATCTAAGATCCATCCATCCAGAAGTTGTTCTTTATGCCTGTAATACAACATATTTTTCGGAGTATAAAACGCACCGAGGTTTTGAAGAGACAAATAAAATAAAATAAAGTTTTTGCACTCTGCAAACCTCTCAAAAACAGCCTGTTTTTCATGAAAATGGGCCCGTTTCCCCCCCCCCAAAAAAAACAACGGGTGGGGGGCAAAAACAAGTAAAAAACGGCCCGTTTTTCGCAAAAATGGGCCAGTTTTTTGTTTAAAAAAAGAGCATTAGGAAATAAAATTCTCTTGGGGGCTGGGGGGAGCAAAATTGAGCAAAAAACAACCCGTTTTTTAGTCATTTCTGCCCTCCCCAGCCCCCAGGAGCTCTCTGAAAGCCTCCTACAAGCTATGCATGGCTATTTTGGTGAAGGGGACGGGGTTTCAGGAGGCAAAAAAAATACTGTATTCAATGTATAAGACGCACCCAGATTTTCAGCCTCTTTTTTGAGGGGAAAAGGTGCGTCTTATACTCCGAAAAATACAGTACAAAGTCAACTTCAGTTAGAAACAGATACATCTTAACAATCTGTTCAGTAATGAATGAAGGAATTAAACTTCTCTTTTACGCTTAAGGAAAAGAGATTGGTCTTGCCAAGATACTGCATGTTTTTATGAAGTCCACACTTCTACTGCAGTGAGGTTGCAAAAGCTTACTTTTGCTATGTAGCGGATGAGAATAAGTTTCAGAAATAGTTTGCAAGTTAATTATCAAAATGCTAGCCAAGATCTTTTAGTAAAGCCTTTCCTGATGGTTTGCTAACATAATACAGACCATGCTATCTAAAATAAATGCCTTCTCATTTCTTTTAGGGACTAGGAGTAAGAAAATTTCAAGACAAGCGTCAACACTATTCGCAAAACTACTATTTTTTGGCCCATGAACAAATTCCGAGCAGCAATGCCTACCATTCTGTTTATCAGTCTTCATTTGTCCAATATCCAGATATTAAAAGTTCCATTCTCGGTCGCTTTCCTAAAAGCCATGTCGATAAATGCATGGCTCTACATTCTGCACCTAAGAATGATTACATGTGGTTTTCAAAATTTAACACTGGTTCTAACCATCTAGCACCTACAGAGGCTACTAAAAGCTCAGAACCTGAAAATCTTTCAACTGCTGAAGAAGAAATAAAATAATTTTTCAGGTTTTCATAGTAGTGAAGCATATTTCATGTAGGACTGAAAAATACTTTTTAAAAAAGAACACAAGGGATCCGATCTTTCTTTGGAATGATTTCCAGAACTGAAATTGCATTAGCGTCATGGCAATTGGATGAGTGATTGTATTCATACACTTTATTTTCTTAAAAGATCAATGCTGCCGTAGGAAAAGGAAACTTTTTAATGTTGCTTTGAATATACATTTAGTTTTCCTGTCTCAAGTTAAATATTAAAATGTTTCACTTTTTATTGTGACATCAGCTAGTTACTTCTATAAATTAACTACTGTATGGTAACAATCTGCTTGTATATACTAAATGGTGACTATTCATTTGTCATTGCCATCTTATTATGAAAAACGGTGCTAGGCGGTGGGATTCAAAAATTTTTTTACTACTGGTTCTGTGGCCGTGGCTTGGTGAGCATGATGTGGTTTTGTGGGTGTGGCTTTGTGGGCGTGGCAGGGGAAGGATACTGCAAAATCCCCATTCCTTCCCCACCCCATTAACCTGCTTTCCAGCTCTGTTCTCCTGTTCAGGGAGGCCAGTTTAAACAGAGGAAGGGGCAGGGGGTTTATGCAACAGTTAAGGAACAGCACTTTAGCGCTTTAAGAGCTAATAAATAAGAGCGATTTACAGAGAAGGCCAGTTCTTACCTTTTAATTGGGGCAAATTGCAAGCAAGAACGGCCAGGCCAAGGCAGAAAAATCCAGGAATTGAGTCCAGGATTATAACCAGATGTTCAGGTTGTCTGGAAGGAGACAAGAACAAGAAGCCAATGGCATGGCAGTCCTGAAACAGGAAGCTGTTCCCAACAAAGAGTTTTGAGGTTGCTCTTACATAGCCCTGGTTCCCGGCATAACATAATTAGGGACTTGTCTCTTGAGGAGAAGAGCTGACTACTTCAGCCCTTCCCTTCATAATTGTTGATATATTCTTGGACTAGGATTCTGGATCAGGCCCCTTATGATTTGAGTTCCATCCCACCGGTTCTGGTTCATTGACTCTAAACTGCCGCACTCGTCTGATTGCCTGACAGCTTCCCAGTCTATCAGACCTGATATCAGGTCTCCATTTTGAGCCTTCGATTTATAGAAGGCCATAACATTAGAGATGCATCTTAGCTTGCTCCCATCTCTTATACAGAAAGCATAAATTGGGGGGATTGAAGCATGACAATAAAAGACTTGGAAACTATGATCTGAACGATAGGAAACATAAGACAGGAATAAAGTGGATGAAAGTAAATATCCCTAATATGAAAGCAAAGGAATAGAATAGAATAGAATTTTATTTGTATGCCGCCCTTCTCCGGGAGGACTCAGTGCGGCAAACAATTCAAGGGGGGAAAAGGGGAACTAAAAAACAAAATACAAATAATAAAAGTAAACAACAGTCGCACAACCATACATGT